AGTGAGGAAAACAAACAGCCCTCCTGGCTATAGCTCAGTTTACATAGGGCAGGCTCAGGGGGAGGAGAAAAAACATATAAAAAGAGGAGCCAAAATTGAGTGGGGGGAGGGGGGTATTGAAGTGGGGAGGGGACTTCTCTTCTCTTCACATCTTTTGGGTCCACCCAGCCTCACGCCTAGAGGATATATTTTCCTTTGCTTTCTAAATAAAACTGAGCTGTAACACAGAGCTGTAATAATGGTCCATCAGTTCAGATTGTTGTAGCCACGTGTTCTGGAAACAAACTCACTCAGAAGGACAATGCAGATAGTGGAGTGCAGTTTATTACACCGGTCGGCCCAAGGCAGAGTCTCCTCTTAGCCAAGGACCCTGACCAGCATTTGTGAAAATCTTTTATATCCCATGTGTACGTGTCAGAACCCACCACCCCAAATTCCTTGAGACTGACATAAACAAAGGAAGGGTAAATACAATCCCAATAACCCCATCACTCATGTGCCATGTGCTCAGACAGTTAAACAATTAGCCAATAATCAATAAGCATGAGGTTACACTCCGACAGGAACAGAAAAATTTATGGCCTGTCTGGAGGAAGGGCTGATTAGTGTACGTCTTATCTTAGGCGATGAGTAACCTGGATAAGATCTTCAAGATTCCCCTGTCCAGAGGCGATCTTATCCTTCTGTTGTTGTTTCCATAGGCACTAAACTCAGAGTTCAGAGTCCATTGGAGAGGTGGCTGAGCGTGGTCAGCATGAACAGGCCTAATTTGGAGTCCAGGCCCTATGAATTCCTTCTTCATTCCCCGCTCTTGATGTTCCTAGTTTCCGTAACGAGCATCATTTATTGTGATATATTGTACCCTAGCCCTCCGGCCACCCACATGAGAGAACGCTATCAACCTCTGGGTTACAAAGTTCATAATACATTGTAAAACTCAGGGTCCACAAAGCAGAACTATCAAGGCAACTATAACAGTGGTAAATATAGTTCTCCACCAATCACCCTTCACCCAAGATAGGACCAAAGTCCAGAAAGGAATGTTTTCATTTGACATTGCCTTTACCTGGTTTTCATGTCATCTAAAGCAACTGATACATTGCCAGATAAATCAGGAATACATACACAACATTCAACCTTAATTATAGCACAGGTCCCTCCTTGAGCAGCTGTGAGTATGTCCAAAGCCATTCTATTATGAATTACTGCTTTTCTCATTTGGATTTGTTCTTCATTTAAGGCTTGGATGGCTTCTGTTCTATCTAGGAGGGCCTGTTTGTGAAATTAGTCAAGGCCTCTACTTTCATCATAATATCTGTTGTGCCTCTAGAGAGTACAAATAAGGCAGCACTATACTCATACCATTGAAACACAGATCTTGTCCACCTAGCATGTAAATAAGGTAGATTTACCAGGGCTTGTTGTAGGTTAGGCTTTTGTTACACTGGCTTTTATATCAAATGTAACCCAACGACCCAAGTCTATTGACTGTAGGCCTTACACCAAGAGAGCAAGGAGAGGTTATGATTGACAGGAGAGAGGAAAGTCTCTTTTTGTCATCCCAGAAAAAAGCAGAGAGGTTTAAAAATCTCCTTGGCAAAGCGGTGACACCCACCAAGGAAGTCCATCCATCACTGACAGAGGCATAGCCCCACATACCCAGCAGCTGGAAGTGTTGTGGAAGTCCGCGTAGGAATGTGCCCATGAGATGAAAACATTGTCCTGAGTTGAAACAGAAGTGAAATTCAAAATCACGTTGATGAGGCCAAGCAGCAGGGGTTGACTGTGTGGCTTCATCCTAGAGGGGCTTGTCCGGGATCTTCTTTTCCTTCTTCTTAAGGATGGTCTTAGTCTCTCGAGGGTCAGTGGGGTCCCTCTGTGCAATCCACTCAGCATCTTCTGGGTCTGTGTGGTATGTTCTCTTCACCTTCGTATGATGGATCCAAGGGACAATACCTGCAACTTTCACTGCAGCAGGGGTAGTTAGAATAACATAAGGGCCCTTTCACCAAGGGGCTAGCAAATCATATTTCCAATCTTTGACCCATACTTGGTCACCAAGTGTAAACTCATGAATGTGTTACCCAAAGGGGAGAGGCACCCTTTCTTGTACAAACTTAGTTACCTGATTTTTTTTACCTTACCAAGTTCCATCTGCTGTGAAATCCTATCCCCCCTTACCTGAGGCAAATTTGTTGACACCTGTTTTATTATGGGAAGGGGCCTCCCATACACAATTTCATATGGAGAATAGCCTTGGGACTGTGGGGTCATCCTGAGTCTGAGCAGAGCTGTCAGAAGCAAGTCCACCCAGGAGCACTCAGTCTCTATGACCCACTTGGAGAGTCTCTTAAAGTGTCCGGTTGGTTCATTCCACCATCTCAGAACTCTGGGCCTATATGCAGTGTGCAGTTTCCATTTTATGTTTAAAGTTTTACTTACTTGTTGTACTAAATCAGCTACAAAAGCCAGGCCATTGTCTGAACCAATGCTGGTAGGAAGTCCAAATCTGGGAACTATTTCCCTAAGCGGGCACTGGGCTACTTCTGATGCTCTTTCAGTCCAGGTAGGAAAAGCTTCTACCCATCCCAAGAACGTACATACCATGACCAGCAGGTAACTGTAGTGTCAGTGAGGTTTCATTTCTGTGAAGTCCCCTCCCAGGTGTTTAAAGGGCAGCGTGCCTTTCAGCTGAATACCTGGAGGTTTTTGTCTGAATACCAAAGAGGCAGCATCCACCTGTGAGCAGGCAGCATGGCCTAGGTGGGTCCCTTGGTGTGTTTGGCTTACCAGATTGTGTGCCAGCTCCTCCAGTACCAATAATTTGCCACTTGGCAATTCCCACCATCTCTTTTCAGTCTTGATGGCCCCTTCCGCTTTGGCTAACCTGATAGCCATTGTCCTTATTTTATCAAGCTAGTGCCATCAGTATATAGGACCCAATTAGGGTCTGGAACATTGTGTCCTTCTTTAAAACAAACCCCAGATACCTTACCTCCTCCTTGCAGATCTGTGCCTTCTTCGACACCCGGTAACCTGCTTCTATCAGCAGCTGGAGCAGGCCTTTTGTCCCTTTCCAGCATTTTCCCTTGGTCTCGGCAGGCAGCAGCAGGTCATCCCCGTATTGTAGGAGCCAACATCCATACTCTTCCGGATGGAATGAGTTCAGTTCAGAAGCCAAGGCTTCCACAAAGATGGCTGAGGAGTTCTTAAACCCTCGTGGGGGAGGCCAGATGAGCTGTTTGGTGCCCCCGACTGGATCTTCCCATTCAAAGGCCAAGATGGGCTGCGACGCTGGGGCAAGGCATATGCAGAAGAAGGAATCCTTGAGATCTAGGCAAGTGTAAACTTTAGTCCTCAGCGGGAGGAGGCCAAGTAAGGTGTAGGGGTTTGGAACAGTGGGGTGTAAAGTCACAGTAGCCTGGTTGACTAGCCTGAGATCTTATACAGGCCTATAGTCCTGTCCTCCTTCCTTTTTGGCTGGCAGGATCGGCGTATTCCAAGCTGACTGGACTCTACTAGAATGCCCGCTTGTCTCAATCTATTGATGTGGGGCAGCACGCCGGCCCAGGCCTCTATCGGTAGCGGGTACTGGAGCTTTCTAACAGGGATGGTGCCTGGTTTGAGTTCTATTATCACTGGGGTGTGATGTTTAGCCAGCCTGCGGGGACAGGGCGGGGTTGTCTTCCACCCAGACCTCAGGGAATAATTGAGTTAGCTCTCTTTCATGCTCTTCTGACCCACCCGATTCTTCCTTCGGAGGCTCATGCAACTTCCACTCATCTTGGTGGGTATTGAGAGAGAGCAAATAAGTCATAGAGTCCGTCCGGAAGGTGGGCCTCTCCTCAGGGGAGAAAGTCACTGGTGCTCCTGGTTTGGAGAGCAAGTCTCTTCCCAACAGGGGTACTGGGCACTCAGGTATGTAGAGGAATCCATGAATCACTTGGTGCCCCCCATCTGACATTTTCTGGGCTGACAAAATGATTTAATCATCTCTTCTCCCAATACCCCAGTTACATCGGTAGTCTTTTTGGACAGTGGTGCCGCAGGTTTTGTTACTACCGACAGTTCTGCTCCTGTATCCACCATGAAGTCAATGTTTTGGTCCCCCACCTTTAAGGTTACCATGGGCTCTTGGGGACCTGATATCTCTGAGCCCTGGCAGCCCTATTTAATTTCCAAATCAGCAAGCCCCACAACTGTGGGAGCTTCCTCTTCCTTCCTTGCCTTAGGACATTCATTCTTCCAGTGGCCCAAAACTCAGCACAAGGCACACTGGTTTGGCTGTAACGGGGCCCGGGGCCTCCGTTGGGACCGGTTGGAGGCCTGTCCCGACCTCGAAGCTGGGGAGAGGGGTTCTTTCCTTTGGCGGTGGAAAAGTCTTCGGAAGACTTTCCAAGCACAGCAGCCAACATTGCAAACCTCTCGTCTGTTCTCCTCTGCTCGTCTTTATACCTTTTCTTGTATTTCTTTTCTATTTCCGTGTCCCTATTCCAGAACACCTTATCTGCCATTTCAATCAGCTGAGAACTAGACATAGATAGAATTCCCTCAGTCTTTTGAAGCTTTCGTTTTATGTCAGGAAATGCTTGCGAGCTAAATGCCGAATTGATAACAATCTGGGAGCCCGTAGCTTCTGGATCTATGGGTGTATCGAATCTGCAGGCCTCACAAAGTCTCTTGCAAAATTCAGAAGGTGACTCGTTCTCCTTCTGAACTATTCCGGCCGGTTTTGACATGTCCATTGGCCTCGGGGCTCCCCTTTTAAGTCCTTGTATAATCGCTGTCCGGTATCTGTCTAATTGGATTTTTTCTTTCTCTGTATTATAGTCCCAACTAGGTCTGTGGGTGGGAAAGGCTTGCTCTGTCCACCTCTCTGGGTTAGCAGTGCCCTCAGGAACCATCTCCTGTAACCACTTTCTCGCCTCAGTGTTGATCCTGTATCTCTCTTGGGTACTGAAGAGAGATGCTAGTAATTGCATTATATCGTCCCAGGTTGGTCAATGGGTGCGGAAAATAGTCTGCATTAGTCTAGTCATGCCCTGGGGTTCCACCGAGTAAGAGAGGGTGTGTTTTTGCCAATTCAGTATATCGGTTGATGAAAAGGGCTGATAGTAATAGGCTACAGGAGCTTGGTGATAATTACCATCTTCCCCTATCATTGGGGGTTGCTGGACGTCTCTAGGAGGCATCTGCAAGGATATTCTTTCTTGCTCCTTGGCAGAGCGGAGACTTTAATTCTAGTGGTTCCTCCCCCTTGTCCGGGAGTACTTACCGGGAGTGGAGGGTAGAGTTTAGCGAATGTAGTGGCAGCAGCCAGGGTGATAAAGCCCGTGAGCTCACTGTCTCTCCAGCTGAGGCTGCAGCCTGCTGGGGCAGGCGGCTCTACAACCTGTGGAGCTGTTGGGATCGCTGAGGAGTCCGGAGGCTTACAGGACTCGGGCTGGTTCCTCCGGTTGGGCCTCCAGTGGCCGCAGTGAGACTAGCTGGCGGGATCATCATTCAATACGGTGGTGGGGGAAGTTCATCTCCTTCAGGGTCCTGTAAAATTTCCTTCTCATCCTTGGTTACCTTTTGGGCCATCAAGATTTTTCCTCCCCCACCATGGGCGAAAAAACGGGCCCATCTGGGGGAGGGTTGTCTTGGGCTATTCCCAGCCAAGAGTCTATGTATGGGAACTGGTCGGGGTGTCCGGGCTTTCCTGTAACTATAGCATAGACTGCCTTTATGAGATTTAAGTCCATAGTTCCCTCTCGTGGCCAGCCAACCCCCACTGAAGGCCATTCGACTTCACAAAGGGTGCGGAGCCAGCTGGGTGTCATTTTCCTCCCGTAGACTCCATCGAATCCTTTCTTAAAATTCTTAATCATATTCTCCAATACAGTGGCCTTAGTTTTAGATACACTTCCTCCCATTTTCTTACCTCTGGACTCCCACATTCCAGGGCCTTCCCGAGAAGCCAATCTACCTGTTCCAACTGGCAGGGGAGATGATGGGTCACACAGCAGATGGGTAGCTCCTAGGGGAGAGCAGAATCTGAGCGTGTGGAATTCGATATCCTCTTTGTAAAAACCCTGTGGTGACAGCTCGGCATGTCCCCCAGGACGGCATGGACACACCTACTGAGTGGCTTTCTTAAACCCTAAGTTCCCTTTCTTCACCCCTGGCACGGCCGTCGACCCGAGTGCCCGAGCAGCTGTTGTCACCAACCTAAACCAGCTTCCTATGCGGCTGCCTTCTGGTCCCTCCAGGAGGGTGATCAGGCCTCCTCTTCCACCCTACTGGGTGGGCTCCTCCCCACCTGGGCACTCAGTTCCCTTGCTGCTGTTCACTACCTGCCAAAGGGAAGAAACCGGGCGTTGAAGGGCCGAATTCTTCCAGAAGGGCGAGGCGCCTTCCCCCATCTAAGAGATTCAAGCCACAAAGCCTCGGGGTGGCCTCAAATGAGACCTGTCTCCTTAAAGCGAGGAGTTTCCCGGCCCGTGCACCAAATGTTGTAGCCACGCGTTCTGGGAAACAAACTCACTCAGAGGGACAATGCAGATAGTGGAGTGCAGTTTATTACACCGGTAGGCCCAAGGCAGAGTCTCCTCTTAGCCAAGGACCCTGACCAGCATTTGTGAAAATCTTTTATACCCCATGTGTACGTGTCCAAACCCACCACCACAAATTCCTTGAGACTTGCATAAACAAAAGAAGGGTAAATACAATCCCAAAACTCATGTGCCATGTGCTCAGACAGTTAAACAATTAGCCAATAATCAATAAGCCCAAGGTTACACTCTGATAGGTACAGAAAAATTTATGGCCTGTCTGGAGGAAGGGGTGATTAGTGTATGTGTTCTCTTAGGCGATGAGTGACCTGGATACGATCTTCAAGGTTCCCCTGCCCAGAGGAGGTCTTATCCTTCTGTTGTCATTTCCATAGACACTAAACCCAGAGTTCAGAGTCCACTGGAGAGGTGGCCGAATACCATCAGCATGAACAGTCCTGAGATGGAGTCCAGGCCCTATGAATTCCTTCTTCAAGTTCAGTTCAATCGCCCAGTCGAGTCCGACTCTTTGTGACCCCGTGGACTGCAGCACACCAAGCCTCCCTGTCCATCATCAACTCTTGGAGTTGACTCAAACTCATGTCCATTGAGACAGTGATGCATCCATCACTTCAAATTTTTGCTGCGGCCACACAGAACCGAGGAAATTACACACTCCCCCAACACTGCTTTAATTAATGAAAGGTTATGTTCTCCTGAGTCAAGGTACATTTATTTATCTAGAAATCAGAGAAAAAACAACAGATTCACACTACAATGGAAAAAGTAGTGTGCTATATTAAGCTTTTAGGAAATGAGTTGATTTAATTAATGCTGATTTTCTAAGTACAGAAAGAACCACCTTGCAAAGTATTCCTAACACTAGCAAAATTGGCAAGAAAGAATAGTTCACACTTATAACTGAAAAATGTAAAATGCCTACATCAGTAAATCCCAGAAGATGTCATTAGGGACAAATAAGTAACTTTTCTGGTGTTCAAACCTCTCTGTGACTCCACTCCCAAACTCCTCATGTGACCGTGTGGTCTGTGACACGGGTGGTGCAGGGACTATACCTTTAATGTTAATGTACTAATTCTGTCAAAGTGCTAATTATCATAAGTATGCACAGCATTGTTCTGGGAAGAGTGGAACCTGCTGGTTTTCTTTACTGCTGGTTAATGCAAAAATCATCTTTTTCAAATTAGATCCATAAAAGATGAAGGAGAGTAATGCTCTCACTTGGGGGTGTCTGCCTCCTAAATTCCTATATCAGTCAGCTTTCCTGTGGTGACAAACCAGTCCCAAATCTCAGTGACTTATAACAACAAATGTTTATTTCTCCCAGAGCCCCAGGCTAGCAGCTCCACCATGGCTGTGGGCTGTGGCTTTGCTCCATGTGCTTTCTCATACCAGGAACCAATCAAGAAGAGTAGCCCTTCTCTGGGACACTACATCATTATGGTGGACAAGGAAACTGCCAAGAGGCAGAGCCAAATCATTCCACTGCCCCTAAAGCTATTATCTGCATGTGGCATTTGCACTGCATTGGCTGAAACAAGCCTGGTGACCAAGTTGACGAGGTGGCCAAGATTATTCAGTCTCTAGAGTAGCTCAACAAGTTCCATGAAAATGGGTGAGAATGCATAATTATCCTACAGGGAAGGGAATGAGTCATGGAAACAATGATGCAATGACCACAAGAGCCACTTAGCACTCTTACCTTAAGTCTCTCTTTCTCCCAATAAATAATGCTGAATTTTGTAAGGTTTGCAGTTCTGAAACCTGTAGTTTTTAACTCCTAAGTTAAGTCCTTGTTCCTGAGTTCAATTTTATCCCTCTGTTTCTGTTTCCCTATAGGACACAGGGATTTAATCCTTCTTCTCTCTTTCTGCACTGTCCTACTGACCTACTAGATACTAAGCCCAATTGTCATTTTCTATAATTCTCCCAGAAATCTCTGAATATTCACATAAATGGAAGGTCTGAGAGGCTAAAGAAGTTGTCAACCTTCTCACTGCTAGAAATTGATGTGTTCAGGATGTGAATTTTACAGATTTTCTGAAACATCATCAGTCAGTTCAGTTGTTCAGTTGTTCAGTCGTGTCTGACTCTTTGCGACCCTGTGGACACATCATGCTACCTGCTATATGGACTTGCCTTATCCAGGAACAGGAAAGGCCAGGAATGGGTTGGATGGAGATGGGTTCTCAAGATAATTTTAAGGCCTTGATAGATGCTGAGTTATTTCACTCTGCATCATATAAAACATATCAAAACAAACCCCCATCCCACACCAAAGACAATTTGGAGGCAAACAGTTGTTGAAACGATGCTTATAATTTTACCTTTGAAACCATTTTGCTACAGATAGCATTTGATTTGTGGTTGACTATGGTCTGTCAGTTATCACTGTGTATATGTAGGGAATGTTTTAGAGTAAGAAATTCCAACTTCCAAACTTATACTCAAAGGTGTGAAATTGGTATAAATACTAAATTTGACAATACAATTGACATAGTGTTATATTTGTAAATCTTATTTTTAAAATTTATTTCATTGAAATATAATTGCTTTACAATATTGTGTTAGCTTCTGTTGTAGAAGAACATAACTCCCTGTTGGGCCTCCCTCGCATCCTCCATCCCCATCCACCTTCCCTATCCACCCTTCTAGGTCATCACAGAACACTGACCTGAGCTCCCTGGGCACTTAATACTTTCAATTTTCCAGTCTTATATTATTCTGAGCCATAAATATTTTTTCCAGGACTAAAATATTCTGCCGGGGTAGGGGGGCGGGTAATCTCTAAAATGTTCATAGATTCCAGGATTTGTGTATATACTACCCAATGGATTAAATGCTTTATCCTAAAGCTATTCTGAATGAGGAAAAACACAACCTCAAAACATGGAGTCCAGAGACAGTTTTGAGAAGAAATTAAAAGTCAGATAATGTCGAAAGATCAAAGCAGAGAATCTATGTGTAAGACAGCAGGACAAAAGCCAGAGACTTGAGATTAAACCTGAGGAATAGGATTGAGTGGGAGAAGCCTGGAAAGAGAGGCCTTCACAGTTTGATGGCTGCAGACACTGGCCTCTGGGGAGATGGGAGCTGCTGAAAAACTGGCTTTTAAGTTTAGCACATTTTTGTGGTTGACCCAGGGCAAAAATGTGCCTTCAAATTTCTGGCCCCAAATGATTGCCCCCTCCCAGGCCCAGAACTCCTGAACTGACACCATCCTCAGCCTGTCTGTTTTTCCAAAAGGTCCGTAGCTGCCTTTCTGGGCTCCTTGCAAGACCCTGCCTGAATGGTTCCCAGGGTTCCTCCCTTGGGCATTTGGCTGTCCTGAACTTTCAGTGAAGGGTCACTGATTCTGATCCCTGAAAAGCCTATTTCCTCTTCTTGACTTAACTTGTCTTGATTCCTCTCGATTTAACTTGTCTAATGGAAACCGTTCAGTTGTTGAGGCAATTTCTTTCAGGGGTAAAACTGCACGTCTGCTCTCAAGATTCAGTGATTTTCATATCCTGCTCTCATTGTATTACTCTGCAACAAAAACTCTATTACTCTTAGAGCCATGTGACCTCAATGATGAATGGATTTCTCTGGGACTATGATGGAGCATCTCGGCCCTCTGATATATTTTATTTCCCACTGAATTCATGTTTCCAGCCTGAAGTAGATATCACTAGGTTTCCACTTGATTTCTTAAGCAAAAATAATCAGTATACAATTAGTAAAATTGTTTCTATGGTTTCTCCTTAATGATAAATCAGGTGATTCTTCCCCTAATTCCAGCAAGAAAACTTCTGGAATCTAGCCACTGCTTCATATATTTATGAAAATGTTTTTTCACCTTCAGTACATTGGTTGATGAGGACTGAGATTATGAGTTTGACTCCCAGGTCTAATCTCATCTCTTCCTCATTACGAAACATAAAGGCAGCCTCAACTGTCCTGAGTTTCAGAACAGGAAGATCATCCTCTGAGTCTGGATGTGATCATGCAATTTGAGACTTCATTAGAAAACATCACAACCATACCAGCCACTAGCCACACGAGGCCACTGAGCAGTTGAAATGAGTCTAGTGTAACAGAGGAACTACTTCCTGAACTTCATTTTAATTTTAATTAAGTTTAAAATTGACATTGGCAATTCACTTTTGGAAAACCTTTGTGTATGACTTGTTATTTGGCATCCAGGTCCGGTTTCATAGAAGACAATTTTTCCATGGACCAGGGTTGCAGGTGGGGGGTGGTGCCTTCCAGATGATTCAAACACTTTACATTTATGTGCACTTTATTTCTATTATTATTACATAAGCCCCACCTCAGATCATAAGGCATTAGATTCCAGAGGCTGGGGACCCCTGCTCTGGATTGTTGAATAAACATATTTTTTAATGATCAAATATTATGTAAACTTTTTAATAACGTTTTTTCCACTTCTCAATGTCAAGAACATTTTGTCACATGAATAGAT